ATCTTATTTCTTTATTAATAGAGATATAATATTAAAATTCAGCTTAGTATGTAAAAAGTTTATAATTAACAATGCTATAACAAAGTAGAGTCAAATTTAATAATCTGTATCTAAAGTCAGAGGAATTTTAAAAAGATCGACAAATTATTATTGACAACTGTGATATTTAATTAATTGTGGTAATAGGTACTTATTTGTATTGTGGTAATAAAAAGTAGGGTAATAATTGCCTAACATACTAAAGTAGGTATTCGATTAATGAGTGATAATGGAAATAATAAATAGATTACTGCCTTGCTGAATCTTCTATGGCCTGAGTGCGAAAGTTACATTCTAAATTTAATTTTATGCAAATCAAATAATTACCTGCAATAACTTTCTAAAAATAACAATATTAATTCAAAATGATAAAAAATATTTAATTCAAAATTAGAAGAAAAAAATAAAAAAAAGTAGAACACACTTTTTTTTTTTTGTATTCTTACCATACTTTATTTCAATAATTTTTTATTAACATGGTTTTTATGATCTTTTTTAAAACTTAAGTGTTATTAAAAATTTACATTTTATATTGGTCTAAAGCATTAAAAATACAATTGAATTATTTGCAAAAATTTAGGAAGTATAAATCAAAAATAATATTTTTATACAATTCTACAATTCTTGAAATATTTTAATAAATATTTCACTTTGAGGCAATCCCTGAGAAAGTTTCTGTAAGTGACATTAATGCTGCAAGTTTATTACATAAAACTGTCAATATGCACCTATTTTGTAGGTTTGTGAAACACAATTTGAAAAGACAATAAATTAAATTTATTATTTTAAGAGAAAAAATTTAAAATTAATAATACATAAATATATATACTAAAAACTAAAATAATAACATAAAATATAAAGTAAGCCTACCTTATTTCGCCATAGCACCACGTATCCAAATCCTCCAGTTCCCAAAACATTTTCCCGCTTCCAACAACCTACTTCTTCTGCATATTGACTAGTGGCCATTTGAGTTCGTTGGTAATTGCAAAATGTCTCTTTTATACTGAAAACAAAAGTTACTTTTAAATATAAGAAAATATTTTTAGATAAAGAGAAAAATTAGTAAATAAAGCAAAAGAGGAAATAAATTATTCTTAGTTCTGAAATATAACTTTAATGTTGAGAATCACTGTATTCTATGTTACTAGTTATGTTCTTTACTATACCAGAAAAAACTGACAATAAAAGAATAAAGTATATAAGAAACCCTCCTATAACAGGCTTCGTTTTAGTGAAAACTGAAATACACAAACAAACAAACAAAAGAAATAAACAAAGCAATGGAAAAAGTTCTCAATTTTTAAAATATAAATTAATGAAAAAAATTATGAAGTTGACTTTCCTTAATAAAATTAAAAAAAGAATAAATCAGCATTGAAAAACTCATGGTTCTACAAAGTAATCAAGTTTAAATCTTTCAAATTTTGCTTTTCCATTTGTCTTTCAGAACATAATTTAACAAGTTTTAGAACTTAACAAACATGTGCCAAAACAATTTATAATAAGGTATAGTAAAAAATAAGATATTCTTCATTAAAGCTATTAAATTTTCTTAATAAAACTTTATTGAAAAATAATTTTTCAAATAATACTTTGGGAAATATTCAGCAAAAGGGCCGAATGTTCATTACATCCCTAGTTGTCATTAAACATTTATCAATTATGAATAAAACAAAACAACATGGCACAAAACGGACAAATTATGGTCTCAATTTTAAAATCAAGAACCTTCCTCTGTATTTATACCACCGACACTATAGTATGTCCAATTTTTTGCCTTAATTTATACTTATTTAAATAATAAATTACAAATGCAAAAATTTAAAACTTCATGATGTTCTCTAACTGAGTTACAAACAAAAACAAAAAATACAATATAAGTAAATTTTTAAGACATTGTTTTTCAATTATGTTGTTTTACTACAAATTATTTTGTATAAATATGGGGAGAAGAGCTTGAAAAATCTTTTAAAGATAATCTTAATAAGATAATAATTTTAAAAAAATTTGATCACTAATATAAGTGATTATCGTAAGTTTCTGAGGAATATCCCAATGTCGATGCCTGTCTAAACCAATTACAATTGTCAAAATGCTCAGTGTTTTCATCATAGAAAAAAAATGGGTGAGAATTTCTCCCCCTTTCTCAAAAACAGGGTGAGATTTCAGAAAGTTAAGTGAGATTTCTAACAACCCCAAAAACACTAATAGACTTTTAAAAAAAATAATTTCTTTTATAATAATACATTTTTAACATCTTCTATATTTTAAAGCATTAAATATTTTCGCTGCATCATCATAGAAGATTTTGCCTTTACTAGGTATTTGTCCATCTTACATTAGTGCATAAAAAATTTGAACGTCTTACATGAAAAAACCTTACCTACGGTAAACACGTGGTTGCAGAGAAATTTGTTCTGAAAGGGGTTTCGTGGATCGGAGGGGTTGCGTTCTGTTGTTCAAAAAGGTTCTGAACAATACTGGTAAATAGGGAAGTTAGATAATGGGGCATATGTTGAAAATAATGAAAGATCCAGGAAGAAAAGTGAGAAGAATTTTATTCTAAATGGCGTAATTCGAAGCTTTTTCCAAAATGAGAGAAATTCGCGACTTTAGAAATTGATTTATAGAATGCGCAAACTTTTTGCGGTAATCATTTTTTAATGCGAGAAAAGAAAAAAATATGCGAGATTCTCGCGTTCTCGCGCTGTAGTGAAAACACTTAAAAGGTTTGTCAACTTTCAAAAATTTATTTTAAAAAAATATATGTAGTTCAATATGTATGTTCAAAAATTTCAAGAAAAAAACTAGAAAAATGCAAAAGTGGACAAACTCGATATATATACATAGTTCTTAAAAATTTCAAGTTCAAAATCCAATTGGCACCTTGGCGATTGAATTTAACACGACAAATATGGAAATATTCTGAGACCGTGTACAAAGTGCTTTGATCTAAATCAGGGTTGGGGTTTTGGACGTCCTTAACTGGTTTTGAACAGGACACGTGGGTTTTACTGTCTTAAACTGGGTAAAACTGTCCAAACCTTCAACGTAAAAATTCTATAGGTGTAACCAAGGTAAAAATTCTATAGGTGTAACCATTGTACACATAATAATTACATGTATCCAGAGCCGGATTATACCTTTCGTAGGCCCTAGGCATAGCCGTTTTTGGGCCCTCCTCTCCTTCCCCCACACCTCCCCTCTTTTCAAAATATATGCTATAATTTTCTTGCGTATTTTTTTTTACATTTTCATTAATATGGATTTTAATTTACAAATTACATTAATTTACAATATGTCTATTGAATACGACATTTTGCGTAGTTTGGAATTCGACAGCATAATACAAGATTTCGTTGAATCCAAAAATAGCAAAAAAGTCATATATTAGATCATAAGATTCTGCAAAATAATTTATTACCGAAAAATATTATATTTTTATTTGTATCTTCATAATTTTGTGCAAAATACACTTGTTGTTTTTAAAGCTAAATTATTTTCGTCAACAAATTTTTTTCTCCCAAGTTTTTCGTAGGCCCCTGAATTTCGTAGGCCCTAGGCACGTGCCTAGTGTGCCTATAGGTTAATCCGGCCCTG